ATGGTGAGGTTGCCCCAGAAGGGACAGCCTCTCTGCAGTTTTCCCGCTGCTGTGTGGGAAAGTGGACGGGAAGCAAATTTTTTGTGCAAATGCGCACCTTATGGGGAACTCTAGTGGGCGGGGCTAATTAAAAGCTGAGGGGTGCGGCCTGGCAATGTGCCGCTGGTGCATGGAACTGCTGCTTTAGAAAGCAGTCCTGCAGTAATTGGATGGAATCCTCCTTGGGTCTGTACCAAAACTGCACACCGAGTGTCCATTTTGCAGGAGGGTGGAAAATTCCACCCTGTCAGAAAGTTTCTGCTGTCCAAGTAAGCAGTAAATGTGTTCCACAACAGAGTCAAGGACTAACCTTGATGGTTGGTGACACGCATCAGCTAGTTATGCTTCACTCTGCCTGGATGAATAGATGTCTCATTCTTAAAGAGTTTGCATTCAGGTCCTTGTCACAACCAGGGAGGCGCCAAATGCTGCAGTTTGTGTGGGTTATTTGTATTCATATTCTAAGTAGAGGAAGAAATTCAGGTCATGAAAATGTTATTAAAATGTTTCATTTTTTAGGTCTTCTCTAGCAGAGGTCTCCCTTCTGGTATAATGAAAACTGGTCCATGTGATAACATTTATCCTGGTGTGTCAAACACATGCCCAGTATAACATCTAGGTTGCAGCAACTGGAGAGGAGTGGTGGATGTTCTATGGAGAGGTGACTGTTTTCCTCGTTATTTAATGAATGGCATTCAACTTAATTATTGTAGGTTCAGAACCGCCCAACCAGCATTGAGTGGGATGGCTGTGATCCACAGAAACTCTACACTTTGGTTCTTACTGACCCGGATGCTCCTAGCAGGAAGGATCCAAAGTTCAGGTAACACAGCTGGGGAATTTGGGAAGTTTCCTTCTCTCGTCTGCCATCAAGGACAACAGCTTAGCCATTGAGCTTTCATGCTGCCTCTTCCAGCTGATAATTGGTGCAGCAGAACTAGGGATGTAAGTGACTAGGCGACTATCTGATAAGCAAATGCGTTTCGGGTAGTCGAATAGGAACTCGAATAGTTGCTTCCCTCTCTTCCCCTTGCTGGCTTTATCAGAGAGAGGCAGCAAGGGGGATGGACAGGAGCTGGTGCTGGGGAGAGCTGGCTTGAAAACCGGTTCTCCCACTGCACCGTCTTGGCTGGGGAGACAGAGGGCAGCAGGGAAACAGCATGAATGGGGATTGAAACAGTTGCACTCGCGCTGGTCCCACTGCTGCGCCTCTCCCTTTGGAAGGTACAAGAGCCACTTGTGGCTCCTGTACACTTCAAAGGGAGAGACCCAGAGGGATAGCGAGCGCCTCCTCATTAACTAATCAAGTAGTCAGTGGAAATTCCATCAACTACTTGATTAGATGATTGATCAAAATTTAATATCCCGAAGCAGAACTGAGGTAGAGGGTTGATGTGACTTGCCAGGTGACTTGCAGTGACCCTAGATCAGGGGTTTCCAACCTTTTTAAGCATGAGATCACTTTTTGAATTTAAGTGCAATCCAAGATCTACCTTAAGCCCAAATACCCTTGTCCTGTCTCCTTTGTGCCCCTTCTCTGAGGTCTCATGTCTCCTTCCCCCACCCTCTCTCACTTTCACCAGTCTGGGGCAGAGGGTTGGGGTGCAGGCTCTGGTCTTGGATAAAGGATTTGGAGTGTGAGAGGGGCTCTGAGCCTGGGGCAGGCTGTTGGAGTGCTGGAGGGGGTTCTAGGTGCAGGCTCTGGGAGAATGTTGGATGCAGGGGTGCTCTGGACTAGGGCAGAGGCCTGGGGTGTAGGAGGGGGTTCATGACTGGGGTAGGGTTTCAGGACGTGGGCTCCAGCTGGTCCCTGCTTACCTCAGGTAGCCCCACTGCCAACCAGGAGCCAAGGCAGCCTCACCCCTGTCCTGGCCCTGCACCACTCCCAAAAGCTGCCAGCAAACTCCATCCCGAATCCTGCTGTGCCCCCTCTCTGCTCTGTGGAGATAGGATACAGAGAGGGAGAGGGGGCACCTTGACATTCGCTCCCCCTCCTCTACCTTGCACTGAATGTAGGAGGCTCCTAAGGGGTCAGCTCCAAGGTAAAGGGCAGGAGATGCACAGCAGTGGGCTGAGGGGCAGCTGTAAGTGCTGTGCTTGACAGCCTCTTGGCCAAGATCTACCAGCAGATCCCGATTTACTGGTTGGTAACCACTGGCCTAGAGCAAAGCCTGAAACAGAACCCAGCTCTCGTGTGCCTGAACATTAGCCAGTAACCGTCTTTCCTCACCTAGACATCTCAGGAGGTGGACACCCTCCCCACCCCCAACAAGATGTGAGTAGGGATACACTCTGCTTCTAAGAGTCATCTTCCTGGTGGTCAGTTTAACGTGGCGATTCCCAAAATCTTTAGACTGTTGGTTCTAATTTGAGCATGCTTTTTTTTTTTTTCTTCCCCCCTTCCCCCCTCAGGGAATGGCATCACTTTCTGGTTGTCAACATGAAAGGAAATGACATCAGCAGTGGGAGTGTCCTTTCTGATTATGTTGGATCTGGGCCACCCAAAGGGACAGGTCAGTAAATATTTGCACATCTCACTAAGGTCCTGCATGGACTACCGCTGGACTCCTTGCTACTCTGACTGCTACAGGACTCAGACAGGGCAAGCAAATCCATGCTGTTAACATAGTGAATAGCTGAACCCAAGCAGGAGCATGCAGGGAGCAGTCATGTACAGAGTAAATGAAGTCACCATCTTGATAGGAAAAGCTACCCTACAGAAAAGAGGAGTGTAGAGTAGGGATGTAAGAAACTAGACGACCACCTGATAAGTGTTTGCTTATCGGGTAGTCGAGTAGGAACTTGATTAGTCACTCCTCCCCCCCACCTACCTTGCTGCCTCTATCAGAGTGGGAGATGATACCAGCTGCTAGGAATCTCATCTCTTCTGCAGAAATATGGTGTTTGTCTGCCAGTCTGTTAAACTCTTATATTGCTTAGAACAAGCAGTAGGTCCAGGAGACTAGAACGGTTCTGTATTTGGGAGCTGGTGCAATTTGCATTAAAAACTGCTACACTGCAGATTAATTATTTGCAGTATGTGTTCAGTATCTTTTGAGTGGCTTCTCTCTCTCAGCAACAGAAGTGGGTCCAATGAAAGAAACTACCTCAGCCATCTTTCCTCTCTAACACCCTGGGACTGATATGGCCACAACTACACTGCAGAAACAAGTTATATCTTCCCAAAAGAGGTTTTATGTTGTAATTTAAGGTCTACATTTAAAGCAATATAGTTATTCTGATATAATTCCAGTATAAGTGTTCACACAGGTGTTATATTTAGAGATGTAAGCGACTAGTTGACTAGTGACTTGATCAGTTGCTTCTCCCTCCCCCCCCCCACACACACACTTGCTGCCTCTATCAGAGACAGCTGGGAAGGTGGCTTAAAAACTGGTTCCCCCCCAGCACTATCTCCACAGTGCCGCCTGCTCCCCCCTCCTGCACTGCCAGCCATGGCTGCCAGGAACAGGGGACTGCGGGGCCTGATGTGAGCTGGGACTGAGGCATCCTGGCTTGTGCCAGTCTGGCACCCCCCTCCCTCTGCATTTTAAATGTAGTAAAAGCCGGGGAAGAGGCTCTTGCTACATTTAAAATGCGGAGCTGCAGTGGTACCAGCTCTTTCCCAGCTCACACCTCTCCGGGACCTACCCCTACTATGACTCTGCAGTTTAAATGTAATAGGAGTCAGGCTCATTGACTACATGATTAGTCAGTTACTTGCCTCTTAACATCCCTAGTTCAGTAAATGCCAACAGTTCAGCCACCAGCTCTAAAGATTGGTATTAGTCACTTCTTTCCTGCACCCTCCTCAAACCTGGGAAAAATGGAAGCTCTGTGACAACTTTAGTTGTGCTGGTAAATGTCAGGATTCTTTACAAAGGGGTGAGCTGAAACTGTGCATACATCTTATCTTTATAAATCGACAGCTGATGACCCTTGCAGTGTCAAATGCTGCCATGCTTGGCAATTCCCCGAGTCAGTGCACTCTAGAATTGCCTTGCTGTTCTTCTGGGTGTCCAACATGTTTTCTTACCAGACTTGCCTGGATTGTGCCAGAAAAATACAAATTGTCTTGCTCTTCCACACACAACAGCTACGTACACCATGTACTTTTATCTGTCTTCAGCCCTAGTCTAGTAAAGGGGACAGAACTAATGAAAATGGCTGACATGGTAGTGCCATTGTATGCTTAATATCTAATGTCTATTAATATCTTAATATTTAATGTGCACTTATCTAATGTCTGCGCTTGTTTTGTTTTCACATTCCCATGCACTAGTTATGATAGCCTCAGTGGGTGTAGAATACCAGGTTTGTTTGCTTGATACACAACAAGATTGAGCAAATATGTAATGATCACAAGGTTTGTCATAATGCATTCTTTGGGGGGGGAAAAAAATATTTTTTTTCTCCTTTTCTAACATTGCCTGTCTGTCTCTCTCACCCCATCTGCAGGACTTCACCGGTATGTGTGGCTGGTCTACGAGCAACCCCACGCATTGAACTGCAATGAACCCATCCTCACAAATCGATCTGGTGACAAACGTGGGAAGTTCCAAGTGGCGTCTTTCCGTAAAAAGTACAAGTTGGGAACCCCAGCTGCTGGCACGTGCTATCAGGCGGAGTGGGATAGCTATGTGCCAAAACTCTATGAGCAGCTGTCGGGGAAGTAGGGGGAGGGCAACCCTAAAGCCTCTCACCCTTGTTCCTGCACCCCCAAATCCCATCACCTAGAAGAAAACTAGCTTTGAGTGAGATGTACCCATAGTCTGAGAGTTTGACAGAACTCATAGTGTTGGAGTAGAGCAAATTTAGTCACTGTCTCTCCTGCTCATGGGGCCAACTTTCTTTTCCCCCAGCTCTATGCTGACTCTACAAACAATTATTGGGTGGTACAAGAGCCCCTTATCTGATGTACTGTCGTGACCTGAACCTGCTTCAGTATTAATGTACCTCTTGCATGGGGCAGAGGGGGGTGTACTTCAGTTGTTAGCAAGTAGTCCCTACACAGGCAGGAATAAAGGGAAAATGTACCATTTATTGGGTTAATTTCTGCAGAAATCACTGCTGCCTAGAGAACTACAGTAATACAGTCCAGAAATATGCAAAGATGAATGCTTAGAGTTGATGATACTTCCTGGCCCATCTTGAAAAGCCTGTGTCTTTGAAACTCCTTGGTTTGGGGAGAGCGAATATGACTTCTGTTTCTCTTCCTTCATAGTAAAAATGAGGTTTTTTGGTAAGATCTAATCTGTTCTTGCATGTTCCTACCTCTATGTGCAATCTTAGGTCAAACTTCACAGCTAGTGTGGAAGCAGATGCGATTTACAGTAGCAAACATTCTAAACACATGTAACCCTGCCTTTATGCAGCCATATGAAGTAGCAGGGGGAAAAACAGATTCACTAAACACTGTTGCGAGCAGATTGCTATGGTACAGAGGGATCCCATCACATCTAACCAAGGAGAGCTACTTTCCAAACAGAATTTCAGATGTTGCTGGAGGTGTCAGCAGGTCAGAGATGCTCTAGGGAGCTGCTGTGTTCCACACCTGTATCAGTCTGACCTGGAAACCTGCTGGATCCTTTAATTTAACTATATAGGGGGGAAAATTTGACCCTGGTAGCTTTTGTTGAACAAAGGAAATTTAATGGCGGGGCTAATGTTGAACATTTCTGTTTGTGCAAGTTGTGCACTACTTGCTGTTTGCTTATAGTTCAATTAAAAAGGACAGACTCAATGGACTTGAATGTGCTTTTATTCCCCGTCTTCTGACTTTGCCTTCTGGGCAAGGCTCTAGGAGCATTGTAAGCTCAAAGGGAGCTGTTTTTTGGGGGGTTTTTTGGGAGGGGATTAACAGGAAACATGCTTAATGCCTAGTGCCCAGCCTAGCCTAATCTGAAGTGGCACTTCCTCTCTGCACGTGTGAACTTCCTTGCAGCTTGTGGAGGTGCTGACACCTGGTTAAAACTGCTCCCCTGCAGTTCAGTTAGTGTTTCCACCACTTCTCAAAGTGCTAGAGGAACATTCCGTCATTAAGTTCAACCCAAGGTACAGAAGGGAGCTTCGTTATCTTGGCTGCCTTACTGAAGGGAGCTCGTGCTATGTAGTGCATTTACACTATCAGAATAACAGGAACCAGGAAACTGTTTTGAAAGAGGTAGGGGCAGTCCCTTGCTGCTGACAGTTGTGTGATGAGCAGGAGCTGCTGTGTAGTTCCCTCAGCCCTAAGTGTTTCACTGGAAAAAAGCTGTGCCTCTGTGTTGGCTACATCTGGTGTCACAGCCATTCACCCTTGGAGTTTTAGTTGTAATGGAAAGTTAAATTTTCCTGGAGGAATACCCTAATTAATACAATCTCTCCTCTAAACAGAGTAAGCTGGGGGAGGAGAGTAGGAATACCAGCCCCACATGCTGAAATGCTTTGATCTGAGGTGCTAGGCAGCCACATGCTTAGAATCCAAACCTTCCCCTAGTACCAGGACTGCAGGAGGAGGCCTGTAGGTCTAGCCATCTCTGCAGCACCATTCCCTTTCACTGGAAACCAGCTTCAAGACCTGGCTGAACAAGTTGTGCCCACAGATGTTTAAACAGTACGCACCAAAATGAGTTGCTATTCTGCTGTTCGCATGCTTTCTTACTTGCTGACTAGCATAGGGGCGCCTTGTACACCTAAGATTTGAAGTGACCCTTCTCAGCACATGGTCAGGCAAAGTACAGTGCATAGGCCTAATCCTGCCCTGCCACACTGCTGGTGCTAGTTGATGGTGCAGAAGAGGCTACATGTGCTGTCTCTGCCCCCAGCACAATCTTGCAGCTCCTATTGGCTGGTTTCTGGCAAATGGGAGCTGCACAAAGTATCCCTCCCCTCCAGCTCTCAACTGCCTGCTCTGAGTTGCCTTCCAGGGCATGGAAAACAGAAACTTGGTAGGTTGCTGACCAGGAGTGACTCAGGTAAGCATCCCAACTCTCTGCCCCCCACTTCACATAACCCAAATCCTTTGCCTCTCCTTCTGCACCTATATAATCTTTCAGACTACGCGCCCCAATCCTCTGCCCGTGGTCACAACCCAAACCCCTGCATCCCAGGTCCCTGACCCAGGACACAATCCTCTCCACCCAAACTCCCTCCCAGATCCCACACCCCCTCCTGCACCCCAATCCCTTACTGCAAACAAACTCCCTGCTGCATCCAACCTCCATCCCAGACCCTCCATCTCCATTAATATCATGGATGAGTGTTGTCCTTGACTACTGACCAAATTCTGGAGTGGTCTATCAATTATTGCCCACCCTTGTCTTACCATAAGCTGCACACATAGCAACTGCTGGTGCTAAGGCCAGGGAGTGGCAAAGGTTTTGCCACCCTCTGAAACACATTAAGCATGAGATGGCTAGAAAATTTAAAAATTGATCTTAGTTTTCATCTTCCAGTATTGTCTGCTACTTCAATAGAGGCTATCTGAAAAATGCCACATGGGTTGCAGAAATGTCCTTTTAAGCTGAGAGAGTTTACCATGTAGCCCTAATTTCATGGCTCAAGAGGAGGGGAGGACTCCACCCTGCAAAACGTTTGGCTAAGAGATGGTTTATTTTCAGCAAAGGTCAAACATGCACCCTTGCTCTGTGGCTTCATTCCTTTGAATCAAGACAAAAGGAGCATGTACATACAGGCAGTCAGTTTGACAGGCAGGAGTAGGACGGCACGTTACTACTCCTGCCCTCTTATGCATCCTAGTGGGATAGCAACGCAATTAACTTGAGTTTGTGCTGCTGTGCTTGTTCCTTCTCATCTTGGGTTTAACACAGGCCACACTCATGTAGAAGCAGGTGCTTAACCAAGTCATAGGCCCAGCACACAGCTCCAGTTGCTAACGTCCATTTGGCATCTTGCCCTGAAACAATAAAAATCTCCAACCATTTGCAGAGGCTTCAGTTCAGTCCCCATCCCCCCACATTAACCTTTGGCTAGGGTTAGTCCTTGAAGGCACATTTTCCAAGTGCTTTGATATTACAAAGGCTGTGAAGAGCGGAGCAGGGACACATGCTAAGGCTAGCATGCTGTAGATACACTTCTGGTCAGGAAGCAGACACATTTGAATCCATCATCAAATGTTAAGTTTCTGGACAAAGCAGCTGGGTTTACACTTTGGTTTATGCTTGGTAGGACCTCCAATGAGCTTCCTGGAAATGGGGCTGTGGAAGTACTGATCAAAGTACCAACTGTGGGAAAATAGGGGGCACATCAGCGCTGTTACAGTTTTCACTTGTATGTAGAGAACCTGTTCCACCAGCCTTTAATACAGACTGCAATAGCCCATGAGAGAGAAATGTAGAGTATTTAAAGGGCCTTGCCCATGGAAAACAAAACACCTGTGTAAGCATTTTAGGCCTGCACCATAGCTGATATTGATTAGCAGGGTTCAAACAATTTCAGCACAGAGATGTTCATTAACAGCAGATGAGGCTCACAGCCAGGGAGCCTGACATAGATGGAAGGTCATTCCAGGGCTGCAAACTCAGTGGCTACATCCAAACTGGCATGATTTTCCAGAAATGCTTTTAACGGAAAACTTTAAAAAGCATTTTCGGGACAGAGCGTCTAGATTGGCAGGACGCTTTTCCACAAAAGCACTTATTGCTGAAAAGCGTCCGTGCCAATCTAGATGTGCTTTTGCGCAAAAAAGCCCCGATCACCATTTTCGCGATTGGGGCTTTTTTGTGGAAAACAAATCTGAGCTGTCTACACTGTCCCTTTTGCGCAAAAGGACTTTTGCCCGAACGGGAGCAGCATAGTATTTCCGCAAGAACACTGACAATCTTACATGAAATAGTCAGTGCTTTTGCGGAAATTCCAGCGGCCAGCGTAGATAGCTGGCAAGTTTTTCTGGAAAAGTGGAAAAGTGGCTGATTTTCCGGAAAAACTGGCCAGTCTAGACACAGCCAGTCAGTGCTAATATTTTCTGAAGCACAGGTTACTATTTTTTCCTCTTTCACTTATGCAAAAGGTACCTGTCTCCCCAGTGTGTGAAGATGGTAAGAGTAACCAGTTGGACACAACCCCCACTCCCTCCTCCTTGCTGGTGTCTAGCTGACCAGACATACTCCTCTGCTTTTCCCTTCTTCCTTGACCTTGTCTTTCTTAGTTATTAATTGTTAAGCTTTTTATCATGCCTTTGGCATGTTATCTTTAGTACAATGCAGTTTCTTGTACTCAAGGCCATGAGGCCCAATTTTGCCTAGAAACCATGTTGCTTATGAAGAAGGCTTGACAAGCTAATCACACTGTGGCACTGCTGGGCTAACATCTACTCGCCACAGGCAAGTAGATTGCCCTAATTGTCAAGCCCTGCTTATGAATGTGTGTGTGAGTTGTGAATGCGAAATACCCAATCAAAGGCAGTTTAAGATCTGTGACCTTTTAAGGCAAAGACCCCTGCAAGCAGATGCAGCCAGAAAAATCTCTCTGACAAGATGTAGTATCACAGCAGAAACCTGGGACGGGCCCAGAGAAAGCAAAGCCTTCTGCAGATCTGAAGGGATCTCCCACAGAACATCATGGTCGAGTCTCTGGGAAACTGAGGCCTGGCCAGCACTCCAGCCACCAGAGAAACCAAAAGTAATCTACACCGCACTTGCAGCCTGCCTCCAAACTGCCAGCATGAATGTGATGTATGCGTGTGAGTATCACTCTACTCAAGAATCTGTGCCAATAATCAACCCCAAAAGCAATACTGCTCTAGTCCACCCTTTGTCCGGGTTTGTTCCTCAGCAGGTTTGAGTCAGTGACAACAGTTTGTATGTATATTAATTACTATATTGCACTGCTGGCTGCAATATCAAAAATGGTTCCCTTTCAGTCCAAATCAAAGTCCCTCCCCCACCCCAAATGTGATGGGAGGGTGGGCCAAGATCAGCTGGCAGAGTGCAGGTACAGTAGCAAAATAAGAACCAGGACAGGACTGAACAACAGTGAGTAACTGCGTTACATGGGTAGTAGGGCTGTTTCCTCCAAGCTGGAAATAAAGATGAAAAATGAGGGGAACCATACAAATGGAGAGAAAAAGTAGCAAAGAGGAACTGGCTGGTACAGGCAGGAGGGTGCTTTGGAAGAAGAGAGGGCCATTCATCTATTGCAGGGGTCAGCAACCTTTTCAACCCAAAGAACCAAACCACATGGCCAGCAGAGTCTCGCATAAGAATGTCCATTTACATGACTGAAAATATACAACTTAATATGTTTGATAATTAACATGATGATTAATAACTGCATAAATGAAACACTGCACCCACAGACTTTATTTAATGAGACTTCTGCTGCAGCATCTTTTCTTGAATTTCTCTGAAGTTTATATCATCACTAGTCAAAATTCAGGTTCATGCACGCATTCAAGCTACAGGATAATTACACATTCATAAACTTGAATTTTTCATTTAAATTTAAAATGTTGCATGTATTTTGGGAATGATAAAAGAGCCATAGTTTGGTTCTATATTTGGCTCAAGAGCCATAGGTTGCAGACCCCTGATCTATTGCACTGTGGGCTCAAAAAAAAAAAAACCACCAGTCCAGTCCCTCAAATCCAGCCTTCGGCAGCAGCAGACTAAAGGATGCAGAAATCATATTCACTAATTCTTGGAGGGTAGAGGGGACAAAGTCATGTAATAAATGTTTGATGTAAGAAGATGGGTTTAAAGGATCAGTACCATGGAGAGAAAAAACTGCCCATCTCCATGGGAGAGGT